GCTGCCAATGCCATTTTTTTCCATGTCCAACCCGCAGCGGCGAGGCGACGTTGAAGTGGCAAAGGGTTACGCGATGGACCCATACCTCCTTCTAAGAACTCGTAGTTTGCACTACGAGGTGATATAGCCATTTTTATACGAGATTTGAAAGAGTTGTTGTTGATGTGATGGGGGCGGAGGTATGAAGACGACTCGGATGAAGAAGGGTCAGAGGAGAGAGAGGTAGATGAGGAAGAGAAGGCAGAGGACGAGGACGAGGAGGAAGAGGAGGAGGTAGATGAACTATGAGAGAGAGACGGTGGCAGAACTGCAGGTGGTGGTCGTGGTGATGAAGAGTCTGAATTGACAGCTCGATAGTTTTTGGAATTGTTCCGTTTGCCGATTCCGGACATTCAATAAAAAAAAAACACCAACGGCAAGACGTCGTCTGGATCTCGATAAATGAACCTCTTTGAACTCAAGCTCAGGCTCTGAAGATGGTCGAGGAGAATGAGGATGAGGAGGGGAAGGAGTAACTTTTAAGAGACCTTGTGAAGTGTCAAGTCCATCATCCATCATGATCAATATCATCAAATCACAAAACTCCTCCACAACTCGACAACAGAGGCTGTACAGATCGAAACGAAAAGGCGGTGTATCTTCCTCCAGGTTGCGCCAATACCTATGCAGCTAATTCTCATCCTATCTGGCAGGCGTATCTCTCTCACATATTCGGATATGGTGTAACGGCTAACATTGCCGCCTCTCATTCTCTCATTCTCTGTCTCGCGGCAGCTCGGGGTTCGATTCCCCGTATCCGAAATCGGATGAGTCGTGATCTGCTTTTTACTTGAGTTAAAATGAAGAATTTTCAGGAATTTAATGTAAGAGGAGGCGAAATTCACATGTACTCACCTACCTGAGGAGAGTCGAGACAAGTTCTCAACCTTGTCCTGAAATCTTTTCATTGACTCTCCTCAGGTGGGTATAGTCCTGTATCCAAGGTCCGGAAATCTTTTTATTGACTTGATACAGGCATACATACGTACTTCTATCAATTTCGCGCTACACAATCGAACTTCGTTCATCGCTAAAACTCAACTCCTATTCATGACTCCTCATGGTGATAATTCAGCAACAGAATCTGGAGGAAACACTACCCCCGGGATCACTGTCCCAAGTTTCTTCGAGGGAGTTACCAAACCAGCTTCGCAATCAGTCCCTTCTAAGCCGTATAAACCTGCCTTCGAAAAAGGGGTGGTTCAAGGGAAAGAGCGTGAAACCTCTGAGCAGCAAAGAGATCGCCTTGAAGATTCCCTTATGGAAGAGATTGACGGAACCACAAGGGACTATGAGCGAGGAAAGATCACGAAGCGACTCGCCATCTACAGGATCATTACTTACGCGAATCAGTTCGAAGCGTCAGATGTCGAGAAAGAAGACGCCGTCGGAGGATATCTCCACGTCCTTGACGACATTGAAGAGAATGTTCTCAAACAAAGAGAGTCAGGCGGACAGGAACAAACGACAAAGACTGCTGGAGGATCGGGACACAGTACCGACACTGCTCCACAGGATGGAAATGGAGGAGGTTCGTCCACAGCCGCTGATGGATCGCATGACGACGGTGGAACCCCAGGCAAACCATCCTCACATTCAGTTATTAAACGACCTACCAAACGTACCCGACGACCCACCTCAGTCGTCGACTCCGAATCAGATGATGGTGAGCTCAGTGAAGAAGAGCGCCCCTCAAAGCGGCGGTTCGACGCGACCAAAATGCCTTGGTACAAAGGAAACGACGTCGCAGGAGAATCTAGTGACCCCAGGTGTGTCAGAAATCGAGAACTCCTCAAGTACTACCTCGAGTTCCCCAAGAGGGTCCGCAATGATGCATCCACCTCAGCTGCTTACCCACTCGGGTTCCCTTCGTCCGAACTCGACAAACTCATTCGTGGAGAGGTCGCAGACTTTAACGCCATCCTCAGCTTGCTCCACCATCTTGGAGCTCCTAAAGAGAGTCGAGGTAGTATCGGAGGTCACGAAGTCGTCTTTGGAGTCAGCGATCCGGTTAGAAAGGTCCAGACTAGCGGCAACTGGCACATCGCAGCTAATTCCTATGGAAAAGCACTGTCAATGCTGTACCCAGACCGTACCTCAGAGTGGACCAGCCATGTCGACTACATCCTGCAGCTCTTTGCCGCAAAAAACCCAGCCGCACACGATCGTGTCATTGCATTCGACCAAGCCGTCAGATCACGCGTCGGAGCAGGGACTCGAATTCTACTCACTGACAGACACCACTTCACCGACCTCAAAGACTCCATCCTCGACATCGACGGGATCAATTATACAGACGGAAGCAAAAAAGGTTCCGGGTCGGGGCAATCAAGATCAGGTGGCGGTGCCCGATCAAAAGCGAAAGCGGCTATCTGTAAACGTTTCAACATCGGCACTTGCCCTCATGGAGAAGAAAAATGCTACTGGCGACACGTCTGTTCCATCTGCAAAGGCAACCACACTAAGCGAGAGTGTTCCGAATCGCAGTAAGGCTGCCGAAGATTCCCGTCGACTTGCTTTGATGGAGGGAAAATCCAAATACTTGCGTTATAACTACTATTCCAACGATTTTGACTTCTCTAAATCCCTCGCAGATTGGTCAGAGACTGCTTCTCCTATGCCTCGTCCTCCTCCTTCAGCCGTCAATGATGAAGTCGCCCAGAAAACCATCCGTGAAAACCGCGGGTTATTCCCTATCATAACGCCTTTCAACGTTCCCCTTCTGAAAGACCTCTCTACCTCCCATGACAATCGCCCTTTCGTCGACTCTATCATTGAATGTTTGACAGAAGGTTTTTGGCCCTTTGCCGATACCCACGTTGGTGTCTATCCTACGACTTGTGACATGTCCCTTCCGATGCCTGAAATTCCTGCAGAAGCAGAATTTCTTAGAGCTCAAAGGGATGTTGAACTAGCGGCGGGCAGATTCTCTCCTGCGTTCGGACCTTCACTGCTACCTGGTATGTATTCATCGCCTATCCATGCGGTTCCGAAGGACAACGGCAGTGCATATCGCCTTGTAACTAATCACTCTGCGGGTCAATACTCTCTCAATTCTATGATCCCTTACGATGATATTTCTGGAATGCCTATGGACAACATGCGACACCTTGGCGAAGTTTTGTTGTCTATTCGCGACGGATCCGATCGTCCCTTAATTCTGTGGAAGTCAGACGTCAGTTCGGCCTATCGTTTATGTCCGATGCACCCTCTCTGGCAGTTGAAACAAGCTGTCAAGATTGACGGAGTCTTCCACATCGACAGGTGCAACTGTTTCGGCAATCGCGCCTCTTACAACATATGGGGTGCCGTGAACTCGTTAGTTATGTGGATCGCTCACCGCCTCCGAAATGTCCTTCAGCCTCGTTGTTTCAACGACGATGCTTTTGGTCCCAATGACGCCTCCGACTTAGTGATGTACCCAGCTTACAACGAACTAATCCCTTCCAACCAGTTTCGACTTCTTACGTTGTGGGATGACTTAGGTATCCCTCACAAGCAGAAGAAGCAAGTCCATGGTTCACCACTTGTAATCATTGGCATACTTGTTGACCCGAACGAAATGACAATGGAACTACCTCCTCCTGCGCTCGAAGACCTATTGAATGCGCTACGGCGCTTTGCGTTGGTGGGGAAAAAGAAGGGGCGATACTTCACCCGACGACAGTGGCAGCAACTCGCTGGTTGGGTGAATTGGGGGTTGAATGTTTTTCCTCTAGCCGCACCATGTCTATCTTCCGTCTACGCAAAGTTGTCAGAAACTCCTGATCTTCCTGACTTTCGGATCTGGGTCAATCTCGCCATCAAGGAAGAGCTCTTATGGGGCATCGACATTATTTCGACTTCGCCTCGAACCAGGATTCTCCATTCTTTAGCCTGGGACGAGTACGACGCCGACTTTGTAGTGGAAACAGACGCTTGCCTAACGGGCCTCTCGTATTGGATACCAACTAAACGACATGGTTTCTATTGCGAAATCCCTGGTGGTGCTCCTCAAGAGCTCATCTTCTGGCTCGAAGCTCTCACTGTCGCCTCCGCATTCTTACGACTCTCCGACAACGCGACCAGTCCTCTAAAGATTTTCATCTATTGTGACAATTCAAACACGGTCAATATTTTTGACTCTTTTCATGGGAAACCGATGTACAACCGCATCCTCCGCGCCGTAGCCTCAAGGATGGTATCTGGTGGCCATAAACTCAAAGTTCGACACATACCAGGTGCCTCGAACGTCGTAGCGGACTTGATTTCCAGAGGCAAATTTGACGACGCCACCGATCTCTTTCCAACCTTGATCATCGACTTGTTTCAACCCCCTCAAGAACTGCTGGGGGCAGTAGGAAAATGATCACCTCCGGGGTACGGTCCAGGCAGCCCGTGCGCCCTGCCTGGACGATGGAAATGCTTGTTCACGAGCGTTCCGTGGCACTTGGCGCATCCTTGGCGGAGGGGACCCTGGTAACTTACGGTTCCGCTCTTAACTCTTACTTAAATTTTATAAAGATACACAACATGGTTGTCGAACCAACACCCGACACCTTATCGTTCTACGTTACCTACATGTCCCATTTCATCGACCCGAAATCCGTACGCTCATATCTTTCTGGTATCTGCAACCAATTGGAACCTTATTTCCCCCAAATTCGTACTGTGCGCGCTTCTTCTCTAGTCTCAAAGACATTGAAAGGCTGCCTCAGACTGTACGGAAATCCCACCGCTCGAAAACTGCCTTTGACCAGACATCACCTCCTTCAGATCATTGACAAATATGGAAACTCGCCACACCACAACGATATGCTTTTTGTAGCGATGGTATTGTCGGGCTTTTACGCTTTAATGCGTCTTGGGGAACTGACCGAGTCAAAGTCATCCATCTCGCACAACTTCAAGAAATCCATCACATTACGGTCCACGTCCATCTCTATTGGAGCGTACTCTTTCTTGCTGCCATACCATAAAGCCGACAGGTACTTTGAGGGCAATAAAGTTGTCATTATGAAGATCGACCACCCCACTGACCCTTATACTCATTTCCTTCGCTACTACAAGCTGCGTCGTTCGAAATTCCCCCTGAAACGAGACCTCTGGTTAACGAGTTCTGGTACCCCTCCCGACCGAAACTTCTTCCTCCGATACCTTCACGAATTCGTTGATAACGAGTTTGCGGGCCAATCCATGAGATCGGGCGGAGCGACTTACATGGCTGAATCCGGCATGCCTCCATACCTCATTCAAGCGACGGGGAGATGGTCATCAGACGCGTTTGAACGTTACATCCGCAAGAACCCCGTGCTAATCCACGCTCTCACTCGGAACCACCCCACAAATCATTAACGTTACCTTACCCTTTCCCTTTCTGCAATTTTGTGACATGGACGCACCCATTTTACTATACGCCACGAACTTTTACAGTCTGGACGTTCCTCACCTCCTCACGCGCCACTCTAGTCACAATTGGACATTTTGTACGTTACTTGTCTATTCTACTTCTTTATCAACCTTCCTCCATCGCAAAAAAATTCCATTTTCCAGCTCAATGATGTCCATCGAGTAGGGTTTAGCGCACCAGGTCAATAAAGATCAACTGGCTGGAGAGCAAGCCTTTGGCTGCCTCCGAAGTTTCCAGTGTTTCTCCTAACCTTGCCTAACTTCCCGTAAGCCTCGAACATTAATTGAGTTAAAATGAAGAATTTTCAGGAATTTAATGTAAGAGGAGGCGAAATTCACATGTACTCACCTACCTGAGGAGAGTCGAGACAAGT